AGGTAGAATAATTTACGATGTTACACTATAAGTGTCTAAAAATGGAATTTATATTATGAAATGTTATGAAGATACATTCAATATGATAAAGGTTTAAGTTTGTTTGAGAGCAAAGCCGCATTGGACTATCTGCTGTGTTCACCGCAGGGAATCGAACACCAGATTTTAGCATCGTAAGTCCGAATCCTTACCGCTGTCTCACCGGGGAATATGATAAAGGTATACCAGATTATTTACTAAGGTTATCATACGCTTTAAGCGCCAACTATTTCCTGGAAGTATGATGATAAAACACAGGTATTTTTACGACATCATTAATATTAGTCGTATGAATCTTCCACCGAACTGTGGTAACAGTATCAAATATGATCGCGAATACTTTTCTAAGTCAAAAAATATGAATTATTCAAACCACCGTTTTAAACTAACACCGTTTTGACTTTGCATACTTCAATGCTCATTGGCCTTCAGCCTGAATCGCTCGCTCTTCTTCCAACATTCCGATGCTGGAGTTCCCACAAAGATATTTGGTAGAACCGCCTTAGGCAGCCCCCAACAACTTGCTAGAAACAACCCACAATGAAAAAAGAAAACTTTCTTTTTTTTTAAATTCATTTACGAGACACACACTTCGTGTACATAATAGGGCGGGAAAAGGAAAGTCCTAGGATTGGAAATGTGAATTGCAGAATTACAGTTTCCGTTTGAAGAATTCTATTCATCTTTGCACATTTTCTTTCGCAATAGTTTATTTCAGTTTGCACGGTGTTTCTCTGATATCTAAGTAAACCTTCGAGCATCTGATACGTTAGTTTTGTCAATATAATGGCCCCCAAGTGTTCTAAACAGTAGATTATACTCATAGAAAAAACGCGATACAAAAATTTAAAACAACATAAGCTTTACACATGCTTAAAGATTCAGAGAAAAGTGTTGTAAAATAATTTTCTGTCACCTTGAGCGATGTTGAAACTGTTTTAACGATTTTTTTTTTACTCTCAGTTATATTTAAATAGGCATAACCTTCAATTCTACAGAACGTTTCCGTAAAGTCCGAGCAACCAAATATGCTATTTGTTCAGCTTAGAACCATTAGTTACTTGAACACAGTGGAGTTATCTTTGAGGAACCACTTATGTCAGCTTAGAAAGATCAGATAGTTTATCTCAAAAGGATCAGTTGCTACGCCCTAGGTGGATTAGTTGCTTAATCGTAGTTAATTCACTTTTGTGGAATTACTTACTTTTGCTTACAGGGTTATTTAGATATTTTAGGTATTTAGGGATATTTAGGTATTTTAGGTATTTAGGGATATTTAGGTATTTTAGGTATTTAGGGATATTTAGGTATTTAGGTATTTTAGCTTTAAAATATCAGTTATTTTATCTCAAGGGGATCAGTTGCTACTCCCAAGCGTGATTAGTTGCTTTATGGTAGTTAATTCACTTTTGTGGAATTACTTACTTTTGGATATTTAGGTATTTTAGGTATTTTAGCTTTAAAATATCAGTTATTTTATCTTAGAGAGTTTGGCTGTTTGTTTTGAAAATTCGTGCACAGCTGAACAAGGGTTATCTGCGTTAGACATCCCTCATTTGGAACTGATAGGCAGCTAGCTAGTTAACAGCACCAAACGCCTCTTAATCTACTTTAATCAAATAATAGGATTTGATCACAATTTTTTTTTATAACACACTCACGGCCACAAACACGTTTTTGCGGCAATGGGACACAAACCACGGATCTTCGGATTCACAGACCAGCAAGCTAATCGCTAGACCATGCCCAGCCTTCTTTAGTGGGATGACTTATTTTGAGCTTAGAGATATCAATTTCTTTATCTTTGAAGGCGCAATTAATTTAACTTTGTGAAATCAGCTATTTAAGCTTAGATATTGGATAGGTGTTCTTGAGTAGAAGATTAAATCGGAGGTGTTTCTTCTGTTTGTGCCTCCCTCAGTGGCGCAGCGGCATGTCTGCGAACTTACAACGCTAGAAACTGGGTTTCGATACCCGTGGTGGGCAGAGCACAGATAGCCCTTTGTGTAGCTTCGTGCTTAACTTGAAACAAACCAAACTTCTGTTTGTTCCTACAATTTCTCACAGTACACAAAGAGTTTGCTTGCACATGTGAAGGGGGGGGGGAGATCATAAGGCCAAAGAACTTTAAGAACGGGACTATAAAGTTTCCCTCTCGCAGTAACATCGTAGGTTGTACTTTTTACACTATGTTTCGACCAGAGATTTACCCTCCCGGTGGCTCAGCGGGAATTCTGAAGATTTATAAATCTAAAATCGGATTTCTTTACCCGCAGAGCATAGATGGCCCATTGTTTAACAGCATACTAAGTAAAAAATTATCTAACTGAGAGAAAAAGTTTGTTTTCGCACAAAGCTACATGACAGCTATTTACGCTAGAAGTTCGTCATTTTGAAGTGATAAATTAGAGGGAAGACAGCTAGTCAACACCACCTACCGCCAACTCTTGGGCTACTATTCTCAGACCGAATGGTGGGATTTGACTGTCACTTTTTTAATGCAGCCATGGCCTAAAGTAGGAAGCGCGATGTATTTGTTTTTGTATCAACAGT